GGGGAGGGCGAGGGGGAAGGGGAGGAGAGACAAGCTGGGTGCGCTCGCGTCCTGTCTGACATCCTACCCCTCCCTCCCATCCCTTACCATGGCGTAGATCCCATCTCTGCTTGCAGAGTCGGATGTCGAGCAGGGCAATGATCCCGAAAGGGTACGCGATGCATAGTAGAGCACGGCGTGGCATGGCGTAGAAGAGCACCGCAAAGCGTAGTACAGCAGAGGCAAGGACAGGAAGGGGAAGCACGTATTGGGCTCCTGGGGACTGAGAGGGCCAGACGCTTGCGCAAACAATCAATATTATCACCATGAATATCCTCAGCTCTGCCATGGCCCGTTGCCCGAATCAGGGCAGTTATATCGAAGACGCCTGCGGCGAATCACCGCCGCCCCCTGCCTTTTTGGAAGCGCCTATGTGGCCGAACGTTGAGGCCAGACCTGCCAAGCCATCGGACCATGTGTTCCCCGAATCGGTTTGGAAAGCCTTCGGGGAACACGTGGGCATCTTGAAGGTCATCTTGGCCGTCTTGGAGGCCTCTTGGGCGATCTTTCTGCGATCTTTGGGGGCTCTTGGGCCGTCTCGGGCCGTCGGAAGGCCGAAAAGAAGGAAATGTCACACTCCGTCAACAATCTAAGGCCAACATCAATGTTTTTGGCTTCTTCTGGCCTTCCTGGAGGCCCTCTTGGGGGCCTCTTGGGCCGTCTTGGGGCTTCGGCCATCTTGGTGGGTTCCTGGCACGTCTGACGCCGTCGGGAGCCGTCTTGGGGGCCTTTCTGGGCCAACGGGGGCCCTCTTGGGGCGCTTCGGGGCCGTCTTGGAGGCCATCTTGGGCGTCTTGGAGGCCATCTTGGGCGTGTTGGAGGCCTCTTGGGCCGTCTTGGGGCCCTCTTGGGGCCATCTTGGAGGCCACTTGGGCCGTCATGGGGCCCTCTTGGGGGCCTCTTGGGCGATCTTGGGGGCCTCTTGGGCCGTCTTGAGCCGTCGGAATGCCGAGAAGAATCACATGCCAACATCCTTCAAAAACTGAAGGGAAATGACCTCTTCGGGCCCTCCTGGAGAACCTCTCGACGGGCTCTTAGGCTGTCCTTGAGGCCCCTTAGGAGCCTCTTGGGCCGCCTTGGGCCATCTTGAGGCTATATTAGGCCGTCTTGGGTACATCTTGGGCCGTCTTGGAGGCATCTTAAAGCCATCTTAGCCGTCTTGGAGGCCATCCTGGCCGTCTTGGAGGCATCTTGGAGGCCATCTTGGAGCCGTCTTGGGCAGGAAGTTTGGGAATTGAGGTCCTTGGCAATCCTCCTGGTACCCCGGCGGGACGGGCCGAAACCCACTGGGAGAGTTCTTTTGGAACAAGAACCAAAACCAAAACCGTAATAGTCTGGCACGCCAGGCACCCCTGCGATGAATCGACAGGGGGCGGCGGATCGAAGACGCCTACGACGAATCACCGCCGCCCCCTGCCTTTTTGGAAGCGCCTATGTGGCCGAACGTTGAGGCCAGACCTGCCAAGCCATCGGACCATGTGTTCCCCGAATCGGTTTGGAAAGCCTTCGGGGAACACGTGGGCATCTTGAAGGTCATCTTGGCCGTCTTGGAGGCCTCTTGGGCGATCTTTTTCGGCGATCTTTGGGGGCTCTTGGGCCGTCTCGGGCCGTCGGAAGGCCGAAAAGAAGGAAATGTCACACTCCGTCAACAATCTAAGGAACATCAATGTTTTTTGGCTTCTTCTGGCCTTCCTGGAGGCCCTCTTGGGGGCCTCTTGGGCCGTCTTGGGCCAGCTTCGAGCCAACTTCGGCCATCTTGGTGGGTTCCTGGCACGTCTGACGCCGTCGGGAGCCGTCTTGGGGGCCTTTCTGGGCCAACGGGGGACCCTCTTGGGGCGCTTCGGGGCCGTCTTGGAGGCCATCTTGGGCGTCTTGGAGGCCATCTTGGGCGTGTTGGAGGCCTCTTGGGCCGTCTTGGGGCCCTCTTGGGGCCATCTTGGAGGTCACTTGGGCCGTCATGGGGCCCTCTCGGGGGCCTCTTGGGCGATCTTGGGGGCCTCTTGGGCCGTCTTGAGCCGTCGGAATGCCGAGAAGAATCACATGCCAACATCCTTCAAAAACTGAAGGGAAATGACCTCTTCGGGCCCTCCTGGAGAACCTCTCGACGGGCTCTTAGGCTGTCCTTGAGGCCCCTTAGGAGCCTCTTGGGCCGCCTTGGGCCATCTTGAGGCTATATTAGGCCGTCTTGGGTACATCTTGGGCCGTCTTGGAGGCATCTTGGGGCCGTGTCTTGGGCCTCTTGGGCGATCTTTGGGGGCACTTGGGCCGTCTCGGGCCGTCGGAAGGCAGAAAACACGCAAATGCCACAATCCTTCAAAAACTCATGGGAAATTTATGATTTTGGCTTTTCCGGGCCTTCCTGGGGGCCCTTTTGGAGGCCTCTTGGGCCATCTTGGGCCATCTTAGGGACATGTTCGGCCGTCTTGGTGGGCTCCTGGTCCGTCTGACGCCGTCGGAAGCCGTTTAGGAGGCCTCTCTGAGCCGACTTGTGGCCCTCTTGGAATGCTCCAGGGCCGTCTTGGAGGCCATCTTGGGCGTCTTAAGGACCTCCTGTGCCATCTTGGGGGCCTCTTGGGGCCGTCTTAGGGCCCTCTTGGGCCGTTCTGGGGCCATCTTGGAGGCCTCTTGGGCGATCTTTCGGCGATCTTTGGGGGCTCTTGGGCCGTTTCGGGCCGTCGGAAGGCCGAAAAGAAGGAAATGTCACAATCAATCTAAGGAAAATCAATCTACTGGCCTTCCTGGATCTTACTTCGGCCATCTTGGTGGGTTCCTGGCACGTCTGACGCCGTCGGGAGCCGTCTTGGGGGCCTTTCTGGGCCAACGGGGGACCCTCTTGGGGCGCTTCGGGGCCGTCTTGGAGGCCATCTTGGGCGTCTTGGAGGCCATCTTGGGCGTGCTTGATGCCTCTTGAGCCGTCTTGGGGCCCTCTTGGGGCCGTCTTGGAGGCCACTTGGGCCGTCATGGGGCCCTCTTGGGGGCCTCTGGGCGATCTTTGGGGCCTCTTGGGCCGTCTTGAGCAGTCGGAATGCCGAGAAGAAGCAAATTCCAAAACCCTTCAAAAACCAAAGGAAAATCAATGATTTTGGCCTCTTCGGGCCCTCCTGGAGGACCTTGGAGGCCTCTTGGGCCGTCTGGGAGGCCTCTGGGGGGCCGTCTTGGGCCGTCTTGGACTCTCTTGGGCCATCTTGGAGGCCGTCTTGGATCATCTTGGGCGGACTTGCAGGCCATGTTGGACCATCTTGGAGACGATCTTGAGCCGTCTTGGAGGAAAAAGTTGGGAATTGAGGTCCGTGGCAATCCTCCCGGGACCCCGGCGGGACGCGCCGGAGCCCCAGGGGGGGTCCTTTTGGAAAAAGAACCAAAACCAAAACCAAAACCGAGAGGGTCTGGCACGCCGGGCACCCCTTCGCTAATGCAGAAGGTGGCGGCGGATCTCATGGCCTTCGGCCCATCCCGCCACCATCCCTGGGTTGCGAGTCAGAGTCGTCAGGGCGCTCTCGGGGGCCTTTTGGGGGCAGTTTTGGAGCCTCTTGGTAGCCTCGTGGGGGCCGCTTGGGAGTTTCGTGGGGCCCCTTTGGGACTTCTTGGGCCGTTTTGCGGCCCTCTTGGAGGCTTCTTGGGGCGGTATTGGGGGCCTCCTGGGCCGTCTTGGAGCGTCGGGAAGCCGAAAAGGCGAGAACGCCAAAATCTTTGTCTCAGAGAATACCAAAGGACAATTCATGATGTTTGCTTTTTGGAGTCCTCCTGGAAGGCCTCTTGGAGGCCTCTTGGGGCGCCATGGGGGGCAACTATGGCCGTGTTGAGAATTATGTGGCGTCTTGGATCGATCATGCGGCGATTCAAATCCCTCTTGGACCATTTGGGCGGCCTCTTGGGACCCTTTGGACCCGTCTTGAGGCCCTCTGGGGCCCGAACACGTGACGCGACAAGCCGCGACGCGCCCCAGTGGAACAGCGACAAGCCCCAGAAGATTAGGCAATGTTTGGTCCGTGCCCCTGAGAGAAAGAATTCTCCATGATATCCAACAAGGGACCTGAGGAAGCTCCAACTCGTGCCTCCAGGGCACGGTGGTGGATAATTGAATTGCCAGGCTCGTCGATCGATGAAGTCATGTCCAGTCTGAAAACCACAAAGTCGGGGATGGGGGGTCGCCATACCCACCGCGAAAGATGATGAGCCGCCTGGGTGACGTGTTCGGTCGATCTTGCCCCTACCGAACGCACGCACAGTCAACTGCTTCCCCGAAACCCGACATGTGGCAACTGAAGAAGGACGCTCGGACCACGGCATCCGTCGATCAATCTTGTGCCGGCTAGCAGAGCCATGCCATGTGTCCTCTCTGTAGCCATGTTCCTTGACAGGGCGCGGCCCCAGGGTTCTCTCTGGGTCGGTCAGTGGAGGTGCCTCCAGTGTCTCTGTGGCCATGTTCCTTGACAGGACGCGGGCCCAGTGCCTCCACTGAGGTGGGCCAGCGGATTCTTTTCTGTACAACGATCAGGTCGAGGTGGGGTGGCGAATGCATGTCTTCAGGATCTCTCGAGCGAAATGTTTGTTTCGATCATGTGTTGGGGATGACCCAGGTCAACCGCTTGCTTTGCAGAGTTTGAGGGATGTGTAGAGCGAAACGCTTGCTCTGCAGAATATGCTGAGACTGTCTCGAGCGACGCGCTAGCTTTCACGTGTCCAGGTCGCCCAGTGTTTATTGGCTTGCGCGTCCACTGGCACGTCTGTGGCGCGTCCCCTGACACGGCGCGTCTCGTGGCATGTTCCTTGGCTTGACTTGTCCTGTGGCTCATTATATGGCTCGTACTCTGGCGTTTCCCCTACCCGTTCCGTGGCGCGTCCCCTGCCATGTCCCTTGCCATGTCCCCTGGCGCGTCCCCTGGCACGTGCCTTGCCCGTACCTTTTACGTGCATCAGTCTATCTTGTAGCATCTATGAATGTTTCCGTCCCTAGCACTTCCGAATCCATTTCCACGTTCGTGGGCCGATCATGTTGGCTCAAATGTTGCTTTGGTTCTTCAGATGGCTCCCCACCGGCGATGTGTCCAATCTATTCGAATTCCGCGCGAATCCTACAGTGGTCATGGGCGTTGTTTCACGCAGTCCTTCCCGCAAAATTGGAGCTAGAAACGTGAATCCGATCCAGGACTTGCAGAAGTACGTGCAGGATGCCGCCACGCCTTTTGTCTTTCCCACGAACTGCTCAGTGCTGCAGTGGGACCTCAGCACCAAGACGTCCTCGCTGATCGGCGACTACAAAGGGTGTGGTTACGCCGGGGTGTGGTTTGTGATCGGCGCCGTTGGGGTCTGGGGGTCACGACACTGTCCTCGTCGGGTCTCCTCGTGGCGCGGCGGAGAACTCTATCGAGGTCCCCGCCCGCCCCCCAGGGCGCCCCCCCAGGGTCCTGGTTGTAAGCCACACCCTTTGCAAACTACACCCATCGAAGTCGCCGAGTTGAATCTTGAGTTCCGTGCCACGGTAGCGTTCATCATCAGAGGGATGCCGCACCACGTGGCTGGAATTTGGAAGTCTTCCAAGGCTCTTGCGCGGCGCGACGCTGCCGAGCGGGCCCTACAGCTGTATGCCAAGGCCGGTGTCGGCCACGCGCAGAGGGGGGGGAGGGGGAGGGGGATAAGGCTTCTTCGAAGCACCCCTGATTAGAAGGCGCGGACCACCTCGTCTATAGATGGAGGGCCAGCGCCTGCTAAGAAGCAGCCTCCGTCTAAGAAGCCTTCCCCCCTCCCCCTGCCCTCTCGTGCGCGCAGCCGAGAGGCGGGTGGCGAGACAGCCGGGGAGGAGGAGGACACCTCGCCGTTGGCGGCCGCAGATCGGCTGCGGGACGAGCAGCCCTGGCACGTGGCGCTGACTCCAGAAGAAGTGGTGTTCAGCGTCCCCATCCCGCGCAGGTTCGTAGCTCCGCGGCCTGCGGCGCTCACCGGGCGCGCGCTGGGGTGCCCGCCGCCGGGAGAGCACGTGCGCCAGCCGCCTCCCGCAGACTCGCTCCCGCGGCCCCGCCTGGCCCTTGACGAGCGTGGCCTGGCCGCCGGGGTGCCCTGGCCGCGGAGGCTGCTGCCCCGGCGCGGCCCCGCGGCGCTGCCGCGCGCACCGCCGGGTGCGGGTGCACCTGCCGGCCTGGAGCTGCTCGAGGGCGCCCAGGGCCAGGGCGGGCGCGGGGAGCACGTGGGCCTCCTGAGGAGCTTCTGCGACGAGATGGGCTGGCCACGCCCCAGGTTCAGCTGCAAGGCCGAGGGAGGCATGTGCCTCATGATGGTCGAGGTCGCCGTGCTCGGCGTGCCGCACACGTTCTCGGGCCAGTGGCGCGAGGACCCTGGGGCGGCTGCGGAAGACGTGGCCCGGAGGGTCCTGTGGTACCTGCGGGCCTCTGGCCACGAGGACGACTTCGAGCCGGACGAGGACTACGCCAGGGAGGCGGCGAAGCTCATCCCTAAACCGCCCAAGGCAGACTGGATTCAGGACGGCGTGTGGAAGGACGAGCTGGCAGAGCGGAAATGGACGATCATGCTAGTACAAAACAGGCTCCAGCGTATCTTCTCGGACGATGCAGCAAAGGGCATGAGCGTCTGGCACTGGAGCTACGAGGAGGGAAAACACGACGGCGCCAACCCTGGACTGGTCCGTGCCACGGTGGCCATCCAGAGAGTAGGTCGCCAGTTCGTCGGCAATTGGATGGCTGGGCGTAGGAATGCCCAGATCGATGCCTGCTCAAAGGTTTTCGACTTCCTCGACGCTGAATATCCATTCCGGTCGAAACGCTGAAGCGGTTTCGAGATGCATGGCGATTTCCCGTGACAAGTTTGTCGGCGGGTGGTTCCCAGGGCTCACCGGAAATCCTGCGGAGGAATTTGCTCCTCCTCCACCTTGTGTTCCTCTTTGTTTTGTTTCTCCCTCTCTCTCTCTCTCCCTCTTTCTCTCTCTCTTTCTCTTTCTCTAGTTTTCTTTGCCTTGTTTCTCTCTCTCTCTCTCTCTCTCTGTTTCTCTCTCTCTCTCTCTTTCTCTCTCTTTCTCTCTCTCTCTCTCTCTCTTTCTCTTTCTCGTTCTCTTTTTTTTTTCTTCTTTTTTTTTTTTCTCTCTCTCTCTCTCTCTCTCTCCCTCTCCCTCTTTTATCCCTCGCTGCCTCCTCTCCTGCGGCCCGAGCCTTGGCAGGGGCGCGCACACCCTGGAGAGGCTCTCCGAGCGATCGGCGCATGCTTCACGCCCCTCCCGTCTGTGGCCTGGGCGCCTTAGGTCTGCACCGCACGGCATCCTCCTGCTCCTCTTCCTCCTCCTGCTCCTCCTCCTCCTCCTCCTCCTCCTCCTCCTCCTCTTCCTTCTCCTCCTCCTCCTCCTCTTCCTCCTCCTCCGACTTGGGGCGCAGAGCCCGATCACAGTGGAGGCCCTGCTGTGCGAGCTGCACATGTCACCGCCCACCAAACCGCCCCGAAGGCTCAACTTTGCCGTCGATTTCCAGTGGGGGGGGGTGTCGGGGAACATCGACAAAAACACGCGTGGAACCCTTACCCCCCCAACCCGAAATTCGGGTCTTCGGGTTGGGTTGGGGTGGTCTGGTAGGTAGATGCGTCACAGGTGTCGCAGTGGATTATTTAACGCTTGTTTGCTGGCTGGCGTGGGCCGTCGCGTTATTGCAGCGGTGTACGCCGCCCTCTCCCTTCAGTCGTTACAGTCGATCTGCGCTGACTGCTTACGACTGCAGCGAGCCTCCTTCGATCATCCTCGCTCCCAACTGGGTCAGCACTCGACCCGGGGAAGCTGCATATCGCGATGCGCGTCATTGTTCGTCTGAGTCTGTGTGTCTCTGCAGCGCTTTCTGGCGGCGCGCGCTGGAGTGAAATCGTTTACGATGTGTGCGTCCGTGTCGACATTGGCGCCAATGCACCCAATACGGGTTCCTGGTGCCCACGGCTCCTGGGGCGAGCCTCTGGTCCAAAGGCAAGCGAGCTTCGAGCCGCCGTGGGCGAGTGTAGAGCCTTGAGCAGCGCCGCGCGGAGCGCCTTGGCGCCTCCTCCCTGCTCCTCCTCGGCATCCTGCCCCCCCTCCCTGTCCGGGGGGGAATCCGGGGTGGAGATCTCACGCGCCTTGAGGCACCCAAAGGGGTCGACGGACTCCGTGACTGCCCCACGAGCCCGCTGTTATCCCTCAGAAGGCCTGGCACCACGCGCCAAGGCTGCCTACGCTCGGGGCACTTCTCCTTTGGTAAACTCGGGTGTGTAGCTTCGTGCAAATCCCACTGACAATGACTACGGAGTCGGCTAGAACCTAAGCGCGCGCGTAGCGCGCGCGTGATGCTAGTATGTGTTTAGCGTCCCAAAGGGCTCCACGAGGGCCCCCAAGAGGGTCGACCGAAATCGTCCCATTCCCTCGGGAAGCATTCATTTTTAGCACAACCGCGTGTCGGGTCTTGACGCCATCCTTAAAGGCCCCCAAAGCGCCCCAAGACGGCCCAATAGGCTTCAAAAGCGCCGAAGATGTGCGGGCTCCGCGTTCCGGGTGTCGACTGTTCCGTGTGACCCATCGTGTCCCCAGACCTGGGAGAGCCGTGACGGGGATGATGATGAGGACGGTGGCGAGGAGAAGGAGGAGCAGGAGCAGGAGCAGGAGCAGGAGCGGGAGCGGGAGCAGGAGTGCGAGGAACGCTCTTCCAAGGATGCCCTCCCTTCCCTCCCAAAACGCCGGTGCAATGGTCGACGGCTCCAGAAACGAACCCCAAAGGCCCCCAATACCGCATCCCCAGCAGGTGTGCAAGAGGCTCCAAGACGGCCCAACGACGGCTGGAGGTGACGCGGGAGCTCAACATCCATGCCCATTAGAAGCCAAAGTCCTAGAATTCTTTACGCTTCGCGTATCCCCACCAGCCCATCTCACAGCAGCAACTCTTGCGAAGCATGCCGACAGTCGTGTTTTTCAGGCGTGTGTCCGCTTGGCCCCGCATATCTCCCCTGTTCCTCCTTCCTCCCGCCTCCTTGTACATCCTCCTTGTGGGGGGAGCGGGAGAAGGACGAGGCGGAGGAGGAGGGAGAGAAAGCGCTCCTCGTGGTTTGAGTCGTTTGGGGTTTCTCGTCCTGGTGTGAGTCGTTCGGGCCCTTCTTCCTGGTGTGAGTCGTTCGGGCTCTTCGTGGTGTGAGTCGTTCGGGCTCTTCGTCCTGGTGTGAGTCGTTCGGGCTTCTCGTGGTGTGAGTTGTTCGGGCCCCTCATCCTGGTGTGAGTCGTTCGGGCCCCTCCTCCTGGTGTGACTCGTTCGGGCTCCTCGTGGTGTGAGTCGTTCGGGGCCCGCGTCGTGGTGTGAGTCGTTCGGGCTCCTCGTGGTGTGAGTCGTTCGGGCGCCTCGTCCTGGTGTGAGTCGTTCGGGCCCCTCCTTGTGGTGTGAGTCGTTCGGGCTCTTCGTGGTGTGAGTCGTTCGGGCCCCTCGTCCTGGTGTGAGTCGTTCGGGCTCCTCGTGGGGCCTCTTGGGGGCCTCTTGGAGCCTCTTGGGGCCTCTTGGGGGCCTCTTGGGGGCCTCTTGGGGGCCTCTTGGGGGCCCTGGGGCCTTGGGGGCCTCTTGGGGGCCTCTTGGGGGCCTCTTGGGGGCCTCTTGGGGCCTCTTGGGGGCCTCTTGGGGGCCTCTTGGAGGCCTCTTGGGAGCCTCCTGGGGGCCTCTTGGGGCCATCTTGGGGCCTCTTGCGACCTCCTCAGAAGCGCAAATGAGCGCTGCCCCCTGAGAAGGACAAAATGAGCCCAAAACCTTAGTAAAATCAATGATTTTGCTATGAAGGAAGATGAGCGCGGCCCCCTCAGAAGGCCAAAATGGGGCCAAAACCCTAGTAACATCAATGTTTTTGGCGTCACAGAAGAGGAGAGGGGCCTATCTCTGTCCCCCCGTCGGGGCCAGAATCCTCGTGAGGGTCGTCGTTTTTTAGCCCTCCCAGGAGTCGAAAAAGACCCCCCTGACGACCCGCGGGACTCCTTCTCCAGGCCCAGGGGGAGGGGGTAGGGGGAGGGGTAAACCCCTCCCCGAAGGGAAAGAAGGGGGGTTGAGAGCAGAGAGAGCTCGCTAAACCACTCACGCCCAAAGGGCTGGTGGGATTTTTGCGTTCGGTTGCTGACGCGACTTGCTGCACTCTTGATCCACAGCTTCGGCTTGCCTACTTTAGTTTGGTTCGTGCCGTGCTGCTTCGCCCTGGTACTCCTGTGGTGCAAACGCCGCGGAGCGCCGATATTAGTTATGATGTGAGCTGTCGTGGTCACGCTTTCCTGGCCTCCCTACTCCAAACAGGCCCCTCCGACGCATTTCCCCCGCAATGGTGACCAATTGAGTACGTAGTGGAGTGTATGAGATCATCGTGAGCCGCATACGGCAGACCATCAATGATTGCTCGAGCTTGACTGCAGTAGTTTTGTTTGTCCAGCGCTGCTTCTCCTGGCGCTCCTGTGGTGCAAACGCCGCGGAGCCCAGACATTCGTTATGATGTGAGTTGTCGCGGTCACGCTCTCCTGATTTTCCTCCAGCAAAGAGGCCTTTCCATTGTGAAGTGCATCGTGCCACCGTGCACGGCGTGCGGCATCCCATGCTTCGTATATCGTAAAGCTTGGAGGCGCTGCTGGTGCGACCCGGATGGGTTTTCTTGCCTTCGTCTTATGCTGTTCCAACCTGCTTTCAATTTGATCACCAGAAAGAGTTTCGAGCACTAAGAAGATACCGAGACCTGAGGGTTTTCGCGTGCCGGGCCTTGGGAGGCGATATTCGCTGGGTGCTCGAGATTATTTCTGGGATGTGGTCCTTGAGCGCGATGGGAGGGGCATACACGTCGTTCATGTCTGATCGTGCTCATTTCTAAGTGTGCTCGTTTCTGATTGTTCTTGGCCCCCTTGTGGCCAGGAAGAGGCCCAGGATAGAGCAATCAGAACTGAAAGGATCTTGGCCCCCCGAAAAAAAATCAAAGGACCTCCGAAGAGTTAGAAGTGAACACCGCGTAGCCGTTGTGCTATGCCATGCTATAGCACAGTGGCGGGATAGGCATAGGGCAACAGGAAGTAAAATGCAACACGCACATAGGGGTTCCCACTTTTGGGGGACCCATGCTGTGCTGTGCCATGCTATAGCACAGACCCCCCACCCCACCCACACCAGAACAATATAAAGCCAGAATGTGGTATCCAATCATACGCAGGGATCCCGGACAAACCGCCGTTCGGCGCGGGGATGCCGCACGGGAGCAACAGGATGAAAATAGACCACCCGAACGCCAGCGAAAGTGCAACCACTGTTGAGGACAAAGACGGGACCATAGCAGAGAGACCAAGTGAGGCAAATGTCTGCAATCGCGGAGAACACAAATGAATAATAGACACGGAGCAGACAACAATAGGGCGCTTATCACATCGTGCTATGGCATCGTGCTATGGCATGGCATCGCTCGGCATGGGTTCCCCAAAAGGTGGGGACTCCTATGTGCGCGTTGTCTTTAACTCCTTCCTATCCCAGGCCTATCCCGCCACCGGACTATAGCACGGCATAGCACATCATGGGTCCCCAAAAGTAGGGTTCTCCCGCCGGACCCGACCCGTCCCGTCCGTTGGGGTCCGCCTGCCCGACTCTTCCCGCCCGTTAGAGCATTCGCGTGCCAACTGGATCAGTCGTCGCCGTCGTCGTCGTCGTCGTCGACGTTGTATTCGATGTGGTTATAACGAGGGGAGTGATGATCTTTATGGTGGGGTGGCTTGCGGGTGGGAGTGACGGCCACCGCAGGTGGGTTCGCGGTCAAGGTGTAATCGTGGCCAAGCCTGGTAGACCCTAAACCCTAAACCCTAAGTCTCTAATCCTATCATAAGTAAACCCTAATTCTAGACGCTTCGCGTATCCCCACCAGCCCGTCCAGAAATGAGTCCCAGGGGAGTGGAGGTTATGAGGGAAGCGGGGGAGCATGCAGAAGAACAAAGGGCGGGGTGAGCCGCCATATACCCCAAGAGGGGGAGGATGTAGGAGGAGCCGTCGTCGTCGGAGTAGGAGGAGGAAGAGGAGGAGCAGGAGGAGGAGGAGGAGGAATAGAAGGAGGAGGAGATGGAGGACTGCGAGGACGAGGAGGACGAGAAGGAGGAAAAGGAGAAGGAGGAGGAGGAGGAGGAGGAGGAGGAGGAGGGGGAGGGGGAGGAGGGAGGAGGAAGAAAAAAGAGGAGGAGGAGGACAATGGCGAGCTTGGGGGCCTCTTGGGCCGTCTTTGGGGCCTCTTGGCGGTCCCGGGGGCCTCTTGCGTATCTCGGGGGGCCTCTTGTGGCCTCTTGGGGGTCTCTTGGGGGCCTCTTGGAGGCCTCATGGGGGCCTTTTGGGGCCTCTTGGGGCTCTCTTGGGGCGCTCTTGGGGCGCTCTTGGGAGCCTTCGAGGCGCTCTTGGGGCCATCTTGGAGGAGATCTATCAAAGAAGGGGGGTTCCCCAATTAGCGCTGCCCCTCTAGAGTGCCTCGAGTCGCCTCTTGGGCGCCCCAAGAGGCCAAATCCTTCCAAAACCTACGTAAAATCAATGTTTGTTGCTTTCTCGCCTTTTCGCTCTTGGAGCCGTCTTGGGCCATCTTGGACTCTCTTGGGGCCTCTTGGGGGTCTCTTGGCAACGTCTTGGAGGCTTCTTGGGGGCCTCTTGGGGTATCTTGGGGCCCTCTTGAGGCGCTCTTGGGACGCTCTTGGGAGCCTTCGGGGCGCTCTTTGGGCCATCTTGGAGGAGATCTATCAAAGAAGGGGGGGTTGCTTATTAGCCCCGCCCCTCCAGAGTGCCTCGAGTCGCCTCTTGGGCCCCCCCAAGATGCCAAAATCCTTCCAAAACCTAGGTAAAATCAATGTTTTGTGTTTTCTCGCCTGTTCGCTC